TTAAAGTAACTCAATTATTAAGGCCAACCTACCTGGACATTTTTTAAATTTGGACATTAACCATCAAACTATGCAATACCCTTTCCATTTTTAATTTTTACTGTAAAAACCCAAGGTATTAAACTGATTTTGCTTGTGAAATGTTGAAGGTGACAAGTGCGAAAAGATACTTGTTAAGAAAAATGTATTGAAAAGGAAAATGGATTGTGCACCTTTAGTCATATACATTCAAAATAGGTGGCCAGATGCTACTTAATACGCTAATATTGCTTGATATAATGCAGTGCAATGCATACACTTCAATGATGCCAAGTCACTAGAAGTCTGGTATGTTTGCCTGCTTCCACCTGAAGAGTATCAGTGGCAGATACAGAATAGCTGTTGACCTTAGCAAACTGAATTAAGCAATTTATATTAATACCACAATAGTACATTTGTGGCCTAGATTACTTTTGGAGATTGACTGGATGACCTAATAGGTCATTTTCAGCTGTGGCTTCTATGATTTTCTCTTGGGCATAACATTCTACTCATTACATGTACAACCCTCCGAATAATACAGATTGAATACACATGATCACAAATGGTTAGAAACTACTATTGGAGCAATTTAACTGCATAAGATAATCATTTATATTGAGAACTGTACACTGATTCAGTTCTTTCAAAAGAAACAATTGAAATATTCTTATCTTGTAACAGTCTTGCCAAAAAACTGTACCATAAAAATTTACCAGCCCTAACATATCTGTTTTGTTTAGCTACTCCTTACGGTAAAGTCAATAAAAAAAACCTATATTTTTTACTTGTCCATAAAATATTCTCTCCAACAAATAGGATTACACACAAATGCTATAATATAAATAAAGCAAGGAAATGTATTTAAAAATCAGTGAATGTTAAAAGACAGCTACATTTATTTAGTGAACCTGCCAAGCACCTAAAGCATGAATTCCTAGCTGTCAATAATACGACTAGGCCTATTTTCCTGCACTGTAACTGCATTTTTATAGTCATTTACATCTATGCCCTGTAAGGATAAAATGCACCAGTCAATTAGTCATATTTCATACTTAAGTTGCACGTATATTAATGATTATAAAAGATACAAGACAGTGAAGAATTAGATCCAGCTATTTTTAAACAAGGCAAAGAATAACCCTATGAAGTACCAAGGGCAGAAAATCCCAAAAGAAAACTGTTCTCCAAACACCACAGCCATTTTATTATTGATATCTGAAGTAATTGGGAGCATAATCCAATTAAAAATATTCTGGACATGAAAGGGAACAAACATAATTTCTTCTTATATTACAGCTACACAAACATTTGTATAATAAATGTGTGCATATTTACATTATTATGACTGACTGATCTATTTTGCCCGCAATCTAAACAATATCATGTTGTACATGGCCATGTAATATATAGCTTAATTGTAAAAACCACTGAACACTTTCATCTTAGAGCTCTTAAAAATTAAGAAGAATTTTGAAAGCTTTTTCAAATCAGATTTTTATCCATGTTTCTCTTAAATGGATTAGCCATTCTATCTGAAAAGTAGTTTATGACATGCCAACAAATAACTTTGATTTTAAATATCTCTTCGGAGGAAAGACATTAAAAGAGAACATCTGTAGTCTCTGCATCACTTTGCCTCTGTCGTCTTAGAAACAAAGGCTATAAGAATCCATTCTACAGACAAATGACATCTAGGTCCTTAAAATCTTACACACATGCCAACTGCAAATCCCTTAAAATGAAGCAGACCATCAATATTAGTTTCTTCATAAAACAACAACGTATATTTATGTCTTCAAACCTTGTTATCACTCTGCTCTGCTGATATATTTTGTCAAGGCACCAAAGGCCTAATTCAGAGATGTTAGCAACTGACCGAAGTGACTGCCACTGTTATTCCATTGACTCTGAATTACACCATGTGCCCATATCAAATAAAGATTTAAGAGTCTACACTGGCAAAAATCAATTAAAAAACACCACCAGAAACTGGTTAATCCCAGGCTGGGCAGAACATTTTTAAAACTTCTTTTTAAAAGGACTGGATAAGTACTTCTTTGTTTCCTGGGTGAATCATTAAAAATCCTGTGATGGAAAAAGGTGTCTAGCAAAACTGCAAATGAAGAAAAGAGATTTAATTCACCAGAAGGAATGATGTTCCAGGTGATTTCTTGCTTTTGCCTTCATCAAGTGTGGGAGGATGCCAAGGGAGCTGTTAGAAGAATGGGTGAGGAGGAGTGAAGGGGGAGGGAGCGTAGGAGGAGATGAGAACAGATGTAGGTAGGAGCACACTTGTGCTGAACCTCAGAGCTAAGGACAAGAAATGTGAACTTGATATAGAATACAAGTAGTAAGTGAAGCGATTCACACATTGACACGACAGCTTTGTAGCAGCAGAAGAAATTTAATGGTGGAAATTTGGAAGGGCTATACGCAAAATACACACCAGCCTACCCACCCCAGTACTATGTTTATGTAATCTTATTGACCACACACTCAAAGCCAGTTTGCATGGGTGCCTGTAGACATGCACAGAGGCTGCTCCCACACGCTGTAATTACACCACATCAGAGCAGTCTCAATTAATTGAGCATGCTAATTAGAGCGCTCCAGGACCTTCTGAATCTCAAGCTTAGTTTAAGTGCCTCTACTGCCATTTTGGAGTGTGGGGACTCTGATATATGAGACACTGTGGACTCTTTAATTAAAGCATCCCCCTTCCCAGCACCACTGGAGCATATCTAAAAAAGCACCATATGAGCTGTGCTTGGGAACCAATTCAAAGTACTATTTCACCACATACGGCTATCCCAGATTTTGCACAATTCTCCTATTTGGGTGGCAATTCCACATATCAGCACATTTGGAAAATAGCTTGGAACATGGCTTGTTCTTGCCCACTCTGGAAGTCAAACAGTGATCAAAATGTTCCTGGAGGGGAGTAGAATCTGTACAGCATTTTGATGTAGTTTTCAAATATGCCCTTCTCTAGAACCGACAGGTTCAGTGATCAAGTTCCTATGCAAGCTCCAGTGTTAATGGTCTGGAAAGCTGAAAAGCTAAAAAAAAGAATGCTAAAAGAATGCAGTCACCTTACAATTAATGCAGGGATCAAGAATAATACAGTAAAGTTTGCTTTTCATTTGTCATAAAGGCAGGGGTGTAAACTTACACAAAAACTTATCCTGGTTTTAGAAAAACTATGTTTTAGGGTATTTTCCACTATGACTGAAAAGAGGAAGGAAAGTACGTTAAGTTAAAATGAAGGACCAGAAGTCAGAATTCACATGGTTTTAATGAAAATTTCAGTACGTATACATGAATACTAGATGATTTAAAAAAAAAAAAGCCAAATGTATATATAGCAGTGGAAACAGCTGCTTTTGGACAGACCTATGCTAAAAGGCACGACTTAAACATGTTTTAATGTTCTGTATATTTCTACACGAGCAAACTGAAAATGGAATTTGAAATTAAGAAATTATAGGTGCATGCTAATGGTTAAAGGTGCACGTAACTTTCTTCCATGTAAGCTGCAATGTATTCAGGCCTGTACATTATATTCAGAAGACATGCTCTTTTACTGCCTCCATGAGGCAATCCAGATGCATTGCCACAGATGGATTCTAAAATACTTTCTGGCAAACTACTCAGGGCCTGAACTTTAATACCCCTTTGGAGAAGCAGTTACTGAATGGATTTTATAAAACAGCATAGAATAATAACCTACATTCCAATAACAATGCACTCAGAGTCTCCCCTCAACTAGTTAAAAAGGGGACCTGCAATATTTTCTTAGATAGCAATAAAAAAAATGTATTTTATTCTTCCTAATATATAGCACCACTCATCCCAAAGAATTTTATGCACCATGCAACACGCATACCAATGAAACACAAACCTCCCGGGGAAAGAGGGCAAGAGCCACCCAGAACACAGTGTGCAGACATACAGAAACTTGTGATCAAAAACAGCACAGGGAAACCCTTACTCTTATGTAAGATGAGAGAGGAGTCTTCATATTCTTTCAGCAGACAGAATTTCTAATCAGCAAAAGACCTAATCAGAATGATATGGTACTTCATCTATCCACCTTGCAGTGATGAAACAGTGAAAGCAGGGTAACATAAAACTAATTCGTAGGCCACCATTCCCTTGGCTTCATCAAGTGACTAAATACAGTTAACTGTGCAGGTCCATTATTCCTTATTCAATTTTATTTCATCATCCCTGATTAATATAACCTAAGGTTTTAAAGGGTCAGTCAGATTATGGTCAATATTTTACATCTCAAAAGGTGTGAGTTGGCAGAGATGCAGGTGTAATTATTTTAAATTACATTTCTTCAACACACTCAGACAACTGAGGAAAATAAAAATTGCGTGAAGACATTCCTAACACATGCTATGCTGAAGTTAACAAGTCAGCAGTTACTGGTGAGACAGAATTGCTTCATACTGTACAGACAACCGGAGAGAGGGAGGGCTTATGAACATGATTCATATTATATCTCAGGAAAACCTTAAGGTAACCACAATTCAGATAGGTTTTTCAGCAGCATCATGATTTAAAAGAAGAAATAACCACTGTGGTGTTTACAGTCTTGCATTTTCAAACTTGCTTCCTAACCTTCACTATAAGCATAAAGCCAAAGAGCCTTTGAACTGCAAGTTGGACAGACATCATTCCACATACTTGCTCATCTGGTAAGGAGTCCAGATAAAGACAGATGAAGATGAGAGAAGTTGAAAGAATGGTAGAAAAACCATGCTAAACCCAGAAACTGCCCTGTTCCATCACTTTTTCCAAGGGAGAGAGCCCAGCTCAGTAAAATCATAAGAAAGCCTGTTCCAGTTTCCTCCTTACTGCAACTCCTGCCACTGAAAAGAAAACAAACTGCATGCATACAAAAATAGTTGCACAAAATGCAACACCCTGTGCAGGTCTGAGTAGTAATTTATAGGAAAGAAAAGACTCACTTGCCACCCCTGATGCAATTCCATAAAGCAATCCTCCTCCATCTGTTTGCTGCTGAAAGACATGGGTGCCTGGGGGAGGGCTCCTTTCTTGTCTAATGAAGTTGTATAGCAATGTCTTCACAAGTCTGCTGGTATATGGGAGACTGAAAAAGAAATTCAATATTTATCATTCTGCATGAGAGCCTGGAAACTGCAGTGATGTAGATGTGTGTATATGTATACACACACACACACACACACACACACACACACACACACACACACACACACGTGTGAGCATGCATGCACAAGATAGCAACCACATGTACAACCAAACTCAGAATTATAATGCTTTGCACATACATAGTCCATTTCATCTGCGTAACTTAAAGGTCCCTGAAGCCCTTACTGAATTAGGCCCTCCTGATATTATAAATGAGGAAACTGAGACACAATTAAGTTAACTGCTTTGCCCAAGGTCAGATGAAGAATCTGTGGCAAAGCCAAGGAAGTATCCCAAGTATCCTACCCTCTCAGCCTGGGCTTCCACAACAAGACAATCATTTTCTCTAACACAAAAACCTAGCGATGCATAAAATTCAACAGAGTTTCTCTCTCTCTCTGCTCTTGAGCAAAAGGGACCGGGTTTTTAGATTTTTTTAAAAAAGTTTCTCTTCTGATGCAGGTCACCTTCTTCATCTGAAGGATAGTTAACACATATTGATTTAACATCTGGTCCAAATCTCCATTAAAAACATAACAAGGAGCAAGTAGAAAGAGCAAGTGTTGTGACAGCTTTCCGTGCATAGCAAGACATAGCCTGACTTCTTGCACTCTGACCTGAGGAAGAATGTCCTGCATTCAAAAGCCTAACTCTAACTCTATCCCACCTACACAGCTGGTTCAATTAAAGAGCTGCAACATCACTCTTACACTATACAGCAAGTAATCCCAGCTTTCATTTTTCACCTTTTATTCAGGTTGGAATAAGAACCTGAACTATGGTGAGGTTTTTCAATTTAAAGCCTATGTTGTTACCAGTAAAATAATAACCCTACAAGTAGCTCAACGTGGGTGGAGACCTGCACCCACCCAAAGCTTCCCTGACCTTACTGGGACTCTGTGTGTAAACCAATTGCAGGCTTGGGATCATGGACTTGTCTGACTATTAAGCTGTTGTTATCCCCATTAATTTGCTGCAACATCATCCACTAAGGAGCAGAGGACAGGGAGCACTATACTTATACTATTATTCCTCTGCACCTCAACTGTAGAAATCAGGTAATGACAGTAATTTCTCCAACTACTGAGAGTGGCTAGGACCAATTTAAATCATTCAGCCACCCTTTCTGACTTCACCTCAATATGCCTGTTATGTGCGTCCTGGGAGAAACCATTTTACACTGAGACAAAGTGCAATCATTCAGATGTCTATATTCACTGTTCCTGGATAAACCCTAAAAAGAGTTCATAGAATAAAAACCGCTAACAGTTTGTCTCAGGATATCACAAAGTGCATCTGAATGGTTGTCTTGGGATTGCATTCCTGTATCAATGGCAAAAAAGCAGCAGTACCTTCAGCCACTCACTAAATCCTGATTGGAAAGGTGATGTGCAAACATGCAAATCCTGGGACTTCTCTATTCTCTAACAGACACAGGCACAACTTTTCCTTGACAGATGTGATATCTATTCCTAGCCTTAGTGGGAGAGATGAGAGTTCCTGAACCTAACTATATTAAAACCACCACAACCCAAAGCATTTAAAAGAATTCGGAACCATTTGCCTGAGCTCTCCAAAACCGTTCACCTTCTTCAAGTATGGTTAATGCTTCCTTCCCACAGGTGCGCTAGAAGACTAATTTCAGCATCATTTTTGAGGCAGACAAGTTCTATAACAAGGAATAGTGTGGGAAAACCCCTAAATAATCAAAAAGATTTTTTGTTTAAATTAAGAAGTTTCAAGAAGTTAATCAAGTTTGATACTGATACAACACAGTTATCCTCAATGAAGGTAACTGGTATTCAAACTAAAAGCTGTACTGAAGTTGGAGTAACATTTGGTAACATTTTCTTTTTTTGAAGTGCCAACAAACTGCAGTCAAAACCTATTACATTTTCCTCTCCTTACATTGTCTTCACATACAACAGTCTGTGAACACAAACCAGCAATCTAACAATGGCATGAAAACAATTTGTTTTGCTCCCTATAGAACAGAACACTGGAACGTGACGTACCATCGCCCATGCATCAGGTATTTATGAATGATGCTCTCCCGCAGAATTTCCTTATGAAAGAGCTGGCAGGAAAGGAAGACAATCAGCGTCGTCACAGCTTCCAAGGAAATGCTGTATGTTATATCTCTGCAGGAAAAAGAGAGTATTCATAAACATTTATCTATCGTTTGTTTATATATTGCATTTTAAGTTATGAGAAAAAAAGCTTTAAATTCATGTGTGCTTGTATATTATCTAGAACAAAGAGCCCTTGGCTCTAACTGTGAATACGGGATTAACAAATTCATAACTGGAGTCCCAACAAATAAAAGGCAACAAAAGAGAGATCATTCCGTACAAACAATAAATCTTTTTCTAGATCTGAGTCTGTTTACAAACAAATAAAAAAACCCAGACATTAAAGGAAAGTAAAAATACAAATTAACTACCTAAAAAATATACGTTTCATGGTTGAGCAGGCTTTTGAACAAGCTGAATCTATTAATAAAATAACATGTATATTTCAGAAGATTACACTGATACATGCACTGCACAAACATTTATTTTAAAAAATGCACAGAGAGAATGCCAAGGTCACCCCGTAATCCACCATGCTGAATCCGACACATATGATGAGGAAAAAACCTGGCATCCCATGCACTCAGGTGCTCCTACAGGAAAAAGCTGGGTTGCCAGGCTTCTTCCCACAAACCTGCTCAGGCTCCAGCACCACTGCGCTCCCCGAAGTGCTTGGCAGCCAAGTAAGCAAAATTCACAGCAGCACTGCAGCTTCTTCCCACGGCAGCAACCAGGTTTTATCCCACAGTACTGCTGGGGCTCTCACCCAAACTCATGGCTGCCACTGTGGGAACAAGCTATGGTGCTGCTGGGGGTCCACCACTATGGGTCTCATCCAGGAGCCTTGATGCTGCTACAGGAAGGTCCTCCATCAAGCCAGAGTCTGCAGGTTGGTTGCCTGGCTCTGCAGGCCGGATTTTGCCCACCACTCATGTTTGACAGCCCTGTTCAAAATGATCAATGCCTTGTTGTACATCATGGACAACTGGGGATGATTCAGAGCTTGCATCTCCCAGTAGACACTGGCACCCAAAACCAGTATTCAGTGGTCATATTTTGTACAGTTTCATATGTGAAATTCTAAACAAATTATGTAATGAACCAAGCTGCACATTTACCTATATAATGCATAGTATCATAAACTTCTGGTTAAAATAAACTGTGTGGATTAAATGCTGGTGAAAGCACTAGATCAACAGTAGCAGGTTCTCATTTATTTTGAGGGCATCCGCAAGGTGTACTTTTCTCACAGGACTCTCCACAGTAAAAGGAGCAAGACTTCCTACAGGGACAGTTTTTATCCAACCTATTTGTACCAGGTAAGAGTGGTAACTTTGCAATGTGGAGTTTGAACTGGCATGCAAAAAAAGTCACCTCATACAGATGGAAGCATGAAACAGCAGTGAAATATCAGGTATCAAAATTACCATTCCCGACTCCCGGAAAAAAAAAAAAACTGTCTTCAATGAATAGGGCAAATAGGATAGTCATGCCCACAGTTTGGGCACATTAATTATGAAAGGTGGTGGTGTGGCAAAGTAGATGAGATCTATTATATTAGAGGACTCTATTCCTATTTTGCTGGTGAGGGAGATGAAGCTGGTCTTCTCCTTCTAAAATAAGCTGTGAAGCACTCAAAAATATCAATGCCTTTTTGTAAAACAAGTGAATGCGAACCACCATCCACTTCACTTCAAGCCTAACTGACAGTCCCTTGGTCTGGAAAGAGAACACTGCTTCTCTCTCTCATATGAAGTTTAACAGTGCAGCCACCTAATTCACAACAACTGGGCAACCTGTTATTAGTCTCTTTGAACAATTTGGTTTATTGTCTACCTCAATGTTATCACTTCACAACAATGAAATTCTTAAAAGTGGATAAACTGTTTAAAATTAAATTAGAGAGTTAAAAATAGAAAAAACAAAGAAACACTCAGCCTCTTTCAATGAATGAGTATTTGTTTTCAAAGTGTTATCTAGTGCAATGCCTCTTGCAAAAGTGATCTGACAATTGATTTTATAAACTGGCTGAACTAAAACCTTGTGCTCTGCTAATTAGTCATAGGATTACAGTTGGTATGGTCCAATTCACAAAAATGAACAAGTTTGCTCCCTAAGAAAGTAATGTCATTTTTAGTACACTCAAGTATTTTTAGTATTCTCAGTGTGCTATTTGCATTATTATAAAACACAAGGAAGAGCCATTAGGAAGACTTGGATCATATACAGTACTGCATAGGTCTTTGTTAACCAAACCTGACAATGCTCTCCTGTTGTAGATATTAGCCATGAAATTTCTAGGGAAACAGAAAGGTTAATGATCTGTCCAAAACCAAATTCTCAATAGCAGAGGTAGAATTACAATTTCCCGTACCCCAGTCCTATGTACAGTTCACAGACCAGAGGCAAAAGATTAAAGAAACATAATCACGTTTTTAAAAGGTAAGATTTGCGGTCAGTTCAGTCCAGGAGAGAAGCTTAAAAGCAGGCTCTCCAAGGGACCAGGGAGCAAGTGATCAGGGAAGAGCAAACAGGGCAGTTTGCTGGGAGTGAGAGGAGGAAGGGAGACAGACAGCAAAGCCAGATCTACCTCTGGGAAAGTGAGTTAGCCCGGTGAGCGGCTGTGTGTGTTTCTGACTGCGTGTTTGCATCTGTGTGGTAGTGGGGCAGGGCGAGTGCTCCGAGAGGCCTCACTGTTGGTTGAATTGCTGGCTGATTCCCAGTGATTGGTGCTGGGTGAGGGCTTCAAGTCCTAACGAGCTGACCTAGCCAGCTGCAGTCAATTCAGCCCAGGAGAGGAGCCTAAAAGCAGGCTCTCCAAGTGACCAGGGAAGAGAAAACAGGGCAGTCTACTAGCAGTTTGCAGGTCAGTTTGCCACCCCCCTCTTTGAAGTGGGGCCTTAAGCTTTCTCAGAACAGAAAGGCTTGCAAGGAAGGTCTTAGATATGGTGTCGTGGAGTCAGACCTGCCACTACTACCAAGTCCCACATCTCTGGCTCCTCTGAGGCTTCTACCCAGATGGAGATCTCAGTGGCGGAGGCTTTGGCCCAGGTCCTGGGCTGCAAGGGATGGGGAAAAGAAGACAGAGCAGGAGGACCTGAATCGAGCTAAGTGGAAGGTGGTTGCTTCAGGCCCCAGGACACATGCTGCAAGGGAAACTTCTCCAATTCAGCTGTGCAACAGGTATGAGACCCTTGCACCACTGGTGGAGGAAGGACCAGAAGCACTTGATCCAGAAGAGAAAGGAGGCAAGCTCCTGTCCAGAAGAGGAGACATACAGTGGTGGTCGTGGGCAACTCGCCCCTGAGGGGGATGGAGGGTGCCATCTGCTGCCTGTATCCCTTCGCGCAGGAGTTCTGCTGCCTTCCGGGGCCCATGTCCAGGCTTTGATGGAGAGAATTACAAAACTCATCCGACCATCCAACCACAACCCCATGCTGCTCATCCATGTAGGCACAAATGACACAGCCAGCAACAACCCTTGGCAGGTCATGAGTGACTACAGGACTCTGGAGGCTGGGCTGAGGGGCCTGGAGACACAGGTGGTTTTCCCTTTTGTCCACCCAGTCAGGAGTCAGGGCCCCTGGAGGAACTGTTGTACTGAGGAGGTCAACCGGAGGCTCAAGAGATGGTGCTGTCACAGCAAGGGTTTCAGACTTTATGATCATGGAACGCTGTTCCAGGGAAGAGATGGTGTCCACCTCATGCCAAGGGGAAGAAACTGTATGGTTGACTTGCTGGACTGCTTTAAACTAGGTGCCATCAGGGAATGCGTGTACAGACAGAAATGCAAGCCAGGGGACAGACAAGCAGGAAAGACGTAGACAGGGCGGTCAGAGAGGTGTCGAGAGGCTAGAATGACATTGGGGTGGGAGGGAAATGGGGGACATACGTGTCTATACATAAATGCTAGGAGTATGGGAAACAAGCACCAGGAACTGGCACTCCTGCTAGTAAATAGGGAATAAGATCTCATTGGAATAACAGAGACCTGGTGGGATGCCACGCCTTACTGGGCTAGATGCATAAAGGGCTACAGGCTGCACAGAAGGAACTGGGTAGGCAAGAAGAGAGGAGGCACAGCTCTCTATATGAAGGAGCCAGACCTCTACTCGGACACCCAAACTGGTTCAAGAGAAGGGTGACTTGAGACCCTTTGGGTCAAGATACCGGGGGAGGGGAGAGACGATAAGGAGAGGGGGCCTTGATGGTAGGTATCTACTACTGCCCAACACACCAGGAAGAGGAGCTGGAGCTGGAATTTTCCAGAGAAATGATGGAGGCTGCACGTTCAAGGGACATGCTTGTCATGGGTGACCTCAACTACCCTGACATCACCTGGGAGGAGCACACAGCCAGATCTGGCCAGTCACATAGGTTTTTGACCTGCATGGAAGAACTTTATTTAGTACAGAAGGTGAACAGGCCAGTGAGGGGGAAGGTTTTGTTGCATACAAACGGTGGTTGCCCGCCTGGTCGGATACTGGGCAGATGTGGTGGTGGGGAGGCAATTACCAACCAATGGTCACTGTCAAACTGGTGAGGGAACACTGAGAGCAGCTGAATGTCTTCACATTGGCAGGACTGGGCGAACTACACCTGAGAGCACTAAGGGAATTGGCTGGAGTCATTGCAGGACTGTTGGCAAAGGTATATGAAGACTTGTGGTACTCAGGACAGGTCCCAGAAGACTCTAAAAGGGTCACTGTGGTGCCAATCTAAGAAGGGGAGGAGGGAGGATCTGGGAAACTATAGACCAGTCAGTTTGACCTCAATACTGGGTACAATCTTGGGAAAAGTTATCAAAAAGTCCATTTGTGAGATACTGACAGAAGGCATGATGCCGAGGGGTAGCCAACATGGTTTTGTTGTGCATAAATCATGTCTGACCAACCTTGTCTCCTTCTACGATCAACTAACGAACCGCTTGGATGTGGGAGATGCAGTTTATTTCACATACTTGGATTTTAAAAGGGCTTCAATATCATCTCCCAAGATGCTCTTATAAAAAAACTGGGGGACGGCAGAGTCCACGGTCAGGTGGGTTGGGAACTGGCTAAGGGGTGGAA